GAGTGTCCCCACAGAAACTTGGCATAGGAAACGGCAGACGAAAAAAAAACCTCGGTACTAGAAAGCCGCCGCCGCCTCCCGTTTGACCGACGACTTCGTAGGGCTAAAAAAACTTTACACTCGTTTCGAACGAATTCTTCGATTGCGACCAATCATCGCCAGCACTCGTCCTCTCAATACGCCGACCTCTACTCTTTGACCTTTGCAACCTCACAATCATATGTCCCTTCATGTCTTCCACAAGTTGGCAATGTTTTCGATATCACTTCTGCTTCACCAGCATGTGTACTAGGTACTCAACTACTTGGACCACATTTCAGCCAGTGCACTGCACCTTCACTGGCGACCCTGAAGCGTTGGAGGCCCCTACGGGACACGTTCTGCAAAATAAGAGTCAGGGAGGAGGTCTGGTTGCAAATGATTTCATTGCTCTCTACGATATCCGCTTTACACTATTTCAGAAAGGTCACACGTCATGAGACTCCGTCTGTACACAGAAACGAAATAAATCATAGAACCACACGGATTGCTCACATGAAGTGAGTTCGCACGTTCTCCTGTACGACACTCATCGACAAAATGACCTCTTCTTCTTGTTATTGTTTTCTTGTCCTGTTCAGGCTTTCTCATTGCCATCATTTTCTAGTTCACCTGTATTTTCTTTCATTTCAGCGTCATCGTTTTCAGATTATTCGCTTATTTAATCAGTTGGATGATTGATTGACCAGCACCGAGGTTTCGGCCCTCATGTCACTGGCCTTCTCAAAAGTGAACCACTGGGAAATCTTTGAATGTCTTTCTTACCACCCAACGAAGCTGAGCCAATTTTTTACCTTGAAAAAGTCCGTAAAGGCCTGCAAAAGTACCCAAAGCCTCGGTAATGGTCAATCATCTGACTAATCGAGTCATTCCCGTGACTCAAAAATAAACCGTGTGCTCACCAACCAACGAATAAGTATTCAATCTTCTACTTCATCATAATCATTTCTGGATCTTATTACTTCCTCGTCTTTGAATCGTTATCAATTATCTTCTTCATCGTTTGCTTTTCTTCCCGTTTTTTTCATTTTTCTCCTTTTCTTTTTAATTTTCAAAATTCGTTTTTTCTAAATATTCTCTTTCCTTTTCACCTTCATCTTTAAATATTCTTCTTAAAATTTGTGTTAAATAATCTTAATTAATTTATATTCTTTTTAAATTTCTCTCCTTTAAATATCAAATTGAATAGCTTCATATACAATTCTGCAAGTGAAGAATTGCAATGACTATACGGATTTCGCGGGATGGTAGATAATCCCCAAAAATAAGGATTTTTCCTCGTGTTCCCCTTTTTTCCGTTGTTGTCTTCTACTTCGTCTTGTTATTTAAAAAATTTTTGGTTTACATCAGCTACCATAAACTTACACCAATACTGCCATACAAAATGACAAGATACGTCGTTATACCGGGCCATAGTGCAATGTTGCTCCACCCCATGCTTCTAAACGTCTGGGGGGCCTTTAGAAAGCAGATTACGGTTCCATCGCCAGTGCATGAACGCCACGGACTAAAATCGAACCAGGAACATAGGCCCGCAAACCTGAGGTGGTTGAAGCAAAAAATATATTTGTAGTACCATATTTGAAATGCATTTTCAGCATGAAAGGAAAAAGAAAAAATAACAATAATAAAGAGAAGAACAAGACAAAGAGAAGAAAACAGTGAATAAGAAAAATATGCAGAAAAACAGACGAAGAAGGCGTAGAAAATGAGAGAACGAACAAAACAGAAAAAGGATGAAAATGAAATGAAATCTTATTCATTTCACGTACAGCTGGCTGTCTCTCAAACACCTTATAGCCACTGAAATCACAGAACATTACATGAAATCACGTAACCATTAATATAGGGAAGAAAAAACAATAAGAAACCTAAAGAACAAGGAGGAGGTGAACAGGAAGACAGAAAGAATAAACGATAGTTTCTGTAAACGAATTCCTCCATCTTTAAAAGTTAAGGTTTACTCCAACCATTACTCATACTTTAATCTTCTTAGCATTTTAGTTTTCTTTATTTACTATTTCTTTTAATTTCATCCTTCCCCTTTCCTTTACTGATGGCTACGTGATTTCATATACGGTTCGGTAAGTACGACGTTTGCGGGCGGGAAATTGTACAGGAAAAGATTAAGACTTTTTGCAAATCATTTTGTTTTATTCATCCTCTCTTTGTCTTCGCCTCTTCGCCTTTTTTTTCTGTATATTATTCCTACTCTTTAAATTCTTCCTATATTTGAAGAATATTTCTTTCCTTGCTGTAGGGAAGACGATGCGTATCATTAGACCTGGTTTTAAGACAGTGTGCACCGTCTCTTTACTCTAGATGTCTAAAAGGCCATTTGACCAGGTATGGATCTGTAGTATTTTACCATTAGCAATGCATCCATGTAACACCGCATTACAGGGTAGGTTAGAAAGATACGAACTACGTGCTTCGACAGTCTCTTGGTCGACACAAGTAAAATACTCGTGGTACGTCTAACAAAGCTTCTTGATCTTGTGGCATGGCTTCATCATCTTGCTTTTTCTTCTTCGTCTTCTGAACTGCTTTTTATCCATATTCTTCTCATCTTCATATTCAAATCTCTTTTCCTTGTTCTTCTGTTTTTAATTTCTCTCTCCTCATTTCTTTTGCCTTATTATTCTTATCTTCTACTTATTTTTTAGTTCTTCTTACTTCGACCCTCTTCGTTAATATATAAAAAGTAATTTTTAATGGCCATATAGCGTTTGCGGAATTCCAAATGCATAGGAAAAAATAACGAAAACAGCCGATGCAGAGATACGATCCAAAATGGGTTCAGACTCTTGAAGAATAAATCCTAAACGAAGAACAGAAAAATGGAAAGCCATGAAGCTTAACACCCACGCTTATCACGTACAGTAACTTTGTAGCTGCATCCCTTTAATCTTGTAAACAACTTCACTACACCTTCGAGGACCGCTGCTAACTGTCGTGCATGTCCATCCGGCGATTTCAGGCCGTCCAACTTGAAT